ATTTTGATGTATTTTAATCCTTAGAACTTTAAAAACATTTTTAAGAACAGGCTCACATTCATGTGCACTTTAAGCCATGTGTTCCAGGCCATTGCAAATCCTCCTGTTTATGGATAAAAATGATGCATGTTCCTGAGTATTACACAGAGGTATATATTACCCAGCAAGCTATACGACATCTGACTTTTAATATCTGTTAGTTTGGTATTTTCTGTTAAAAGGGAATTTAATGCTGATCTGAAAATGCTACTATATTTCCCATCCCCTGGATTCAATTAACACAGCAGGTGGGAAATCAGGACATTGTGACAACTATTCTTCCATCTCAAAACTATATAGCAATTTATATTCCAAAAGGTCTCAAACACTAACATGATAATTTATAGCATCTTTGAATGCTTCTTTGTACTAGTTAAAAATTCAGAAAAACCTAATCTCGCCACAGTCCCTGAAGCTCACAGTGAAAGGCAAAGCTGTGAAAACTTTCCCAGCTCAAAGCTCTGTGACTGCACGTGATGACTTAAGCAGCAGAGTTCCCATCAGGTCTCTGGAAACGCTTACAGGGTTTTTCATGTTGTCACCACAGAATATAGTGAAAGTGCTAAATCAGTGGGATTTGAAGCATCAAATTCCTACCATTGATAGAAAATGGAACCACAGTGTCTTCCTTCTGCAGATGATATATTTTAATGCTTCCTGTATCTCAGCATCCGTTAGGCTTTTGCAAATTAAAAAAAAACAAATAAAGGTTTGCACAAACCTACCTAGTCAAACAAGGTACAAAAGTGCTACCTGAAGCATATTTTAGAAAATACTTCTTGTGCTTCATATATGTCTGGAGAGAAATACAGGGTTTTTTTTTTTTGTATTTGGCAATCTTGTTATCCTATTTCTGGTGTGTGGGTTTGTTTTTGGTTTTTTTTTTGGTTTGTTTTGTTTTAATTTATTTAAGCTACTGTTCTTCAGTGGCACTTATTTCAGCAGTGTGGGACCAAAATCCTCTGATACAATACCACTGCTATCAGCTGAGTTACTATGCTTGGATTACATCTAGCTCACTGTTTGAAAGAGCAAAACCTTCTGAAATAATGACTATATTATTCTTATTATTATTGTCCCAATTTTGATAGCATCTGTGATTATGGCAAACTATGTTACAAGTCTGTAAAAACTCAGAGAAAAAGATGGTTCCTGCTCTAAAGAATCTATAGTTTAAGAGTCTCATGCTGCATCCCTTCTGTCTCACTGTCTGTTTCTAGGGTTCTGCACTTTGCCTCTTGCAGGATCCTCCCACGTATCTAAAACTTCCCTCACCATTTTAGCGGTTAAATATATTGTGAGCAGCAGACAAACAAGTTGCCTATGTACATGTTTCAAGTTGCTGTTTCTCTCATGACCTTCTTTCAATGCTCTTTCATCTCTAAATTTAGCTAGCTACTAAAGTGGGAGTCTAGCAGATTCAGTGACACGAGAAACACTAATGCAGAGCCTGTACATGATCACTCTTAAAAGAACAGCACAGATTATGAGACAGTGTAATTACTGTTCTGTAGCCAAATGAAGTTTATTTTACGAAACTGCACCTTCTCAAGTCTAATCAACCATTACAGACATTCACTCAAGACCAACACATGCAGCACAAAATCGAAAGTATTAGTTAAGGGCTGACAGCCAGAACTCAGAAAACTGTTCACGTTAGGATTGCTGTGTCCCTGTTTGAACAGATGACGTAACTGCCAGGCACAAGTACACCTTAAATCTGGAATACAATCTTTTAAATAGCTGCTTCAGTGCCATCTAATGAGGAGAACATACTTCAGAATCACAGGAAACATTTAAGAATATGAAATAAAGTACTGAGATTCAGAAAGGTACTGTACAGATACTGGCACTGTGACTGAGACACAATGATGTAACTATACCAAGTTCCATGAAATTGCAGAAAAGTTATACCACGTTAAATTCTGGTTTGCTATTTTCAGATACAATAAATATGGTAAAATAGGAAATGTTCTGTGTTCTTTGGGTGAGATAAATGGCAAGCAATTTTATTCCCTGGATCGTATATATATATATAAAATCTGATTAAAATATTAATAATATTTGTGCTTAGATAGATAATGAGATAGTTTTAAAGTTTTTAATCACTCTTTAGTGATTTAAATGTTCTCAGAAATCACACCTCCTATATTCTACTCAAAAAACTTTCCCTCCTTTTTGAGAAAACAGCACAAGCACAGCCCAGAAAATTTGTTAATTCTTTCTTTAATAAAGCGGGCTAGATGTTCTTCCAGAGTAAAGATACAAAGCTCCACGACTAAATGAATACCCAGTCAAAATATGATACTGCCTTTTTGCAGTACATAAAACTGACATGACATGCAAGAGACTTTAAACAGTCATAAATTACAGATGTGAGATACAGTACAACAGTCTCAGATACATTTCTTAATCCCATATTAGTTTTCATCAGCAATTAGCAATGCATATAATTTTTCTATCTGATTGTTGTTATCCATGAACGTTATGAGCAGGTAATCTTCGGAGAAAAAGAATAATCTTGTATTTTAAATGATAATTTCTTTCTCAGTATATTCTTAACATAATGCAAGGTGGGGTGATGACTTGATATTTTGTCTCATTTACAAGTTTCTAACTTAACGAATATACAAAATTCTAACTGTCTCCGCACAACGATCACATACCAGAGACAACATATTTGAGATGTGGAAGGACACGGTATAACCAAAGCAGATTCATTTACTGGAATTTGCTCTGATCTTATTTGTATAATCATCTCTCTGCTTCTGAAGATTTTTATCACATCCCATGGCACGATAGGCATTCATCTCATCAGTATTCACTGCTTAGTGAAAAGTTGCTGCAACCTCCCAAAATCTTTATATACCTTTAGCACTGTTTTAAAATATGCAATATTAAAGATACAACTAACTTACAAAAATAAAAGAACTGTACAAATCACACTCTTCCATTGGCAATGAGACTGTTCAAGAAAATAGTAATGTGATCCCTGACAAACAACCAGAACAGAAATCAAAAGACTGATGCTTAAAAAAATAAAAAAGAAGTAAAAACATTTTCCCCTGCCAAAGTACTGGAATCTTTGAAGGTTTATGTATCACAGAATATAAAACTTTTATCTCTGTCCCCAGAATATTTCTTTCCTCTTTACATAGGTACTTCTTGAACAGATTCCCCTTTGTTGGTGGTGTGGCACAAGCGTTGCTGTACGGGTTAAGGCTAGAAAAGCTTGAAAGACCTAAATAAATCAACAGCCACCTAATCCCCTGGCATTCATGCAAACTCAGGGAAATAAAATAAACCTGAAGACAGGCATGCATGCTGAATTCCAAAGTGATTTCTATGAAGCTTAAAATTAAACCAAAATAAACACACCTCCGAAATGTTATGCATTTAAGGTCTTTCATCTAAACAGTCATCTGACTGTTCATATCACTCTGTCGCAGAGAGGTATGATGCTATGTCTGGTCATAACGTTTTAGTATTTTATCATTTTTACAAGGCACAGATAATTTTAGACGAACTATGTGGCGTCGTTTGAACATGTAAGGATATGGCAGCTACCACGTAATTACATGACAATTACCTCTTCAGTTCAGTCACTGACATAGACCTTGTAAAATCTTAAGACCAGCAAACTACATGTCACCTCAGCTTTGGAATACGGTACTTAACTCTGTTTACAATTACAGACTAAGCAGCAAATAAATACCATTTCTTAACTCCATACAAACACAAGCTTTGCCATGCAATAACGAAGCTGTTGCATGGTATAATGTATATGTATCTTGAAGTAAATAATGCAAATTTTTTGCTGCTGTTATAGAGTGACTTTCCAGCATGCCTTCCTCAAGTTAGCTCTGTGTAGGTCCTGCAAGAGGAGGTGTCCATTCACCACCGGTTTCTTTTTGTGAATTCCAACAGAGTTTAAAGGGACCCGAGAGTACACTCCCCCCTCCCTTACCGACTTGAAAAAACTGTTATTAGATGTACTATGTACTTGATGGGAAAGAAATACACTTTTCCATAGAACAAGTTCTAGAGTTAATTAGAAACTTTCCGTTGGTTAACGCTGCTGCACCATTATGTTTTTCTTGACTAGAAATGTGGAAATCGTATAGGAATATATGTAAACAGAGTCTATAGAAGATAATAGCAAGAAGACATAAAGTGCTTTTAACTATGAACATTTCATTTCACTTTGCACCCTTCCCTGGTAAGCTGTCATACTCAAGCTAGTTTTAGTTCAGCTGGCTCACGTCTACACTATGAAATACTGTAATTTCCCTTGCACCTACTGTTTTAACCATGGTAGTCTCAGTAAAATAAAAAATAATTCATGCCAGGAGAAGTAAAAGTTGACCGATATAAAAAGGGAAGGAGGTGAACTGGGAACTCCCAAGGGGAAAAAAAAGGTAGGTAAAGGGAAATAAGCCTCTATTGTATAGGTCCCTGTTCTCAAGGAATTTGTCACATATTCTTCTGTAAGACAGTGCTGAGGAACAACTACATAAACCTCTGCCTTGAACACACCTCAGGCTACTGCTGGATGAAAACAAAGAAATTAGGATTCCTCAGCTGAGAACATGGTTACTGCTAGGATGATGCTTTTAATCTTTCTGAGCCACATTCCCTACTTCTCTAATCACAGTCTCTGAAGAAACAGTACCCTTTCCTACTCAGAAAACCCAGTCACGCATATTTTGTAAAAGGAAGGTATTAAATCTAGCTTGTCTTTGCTGTTTCAGGTCTGATGCAAAGTATCTACACATTTCCTAATCCATTATGGGACCTAGCACATACTATTCTATGTTTTGGGAAAGCAACAGTTCTATAGTAACAAAGCTCCTAAGTAAGGTAATGGTATAACTAAGAATAATTGTATATTAGAACTGGGTTTTACCGGATCTTTATTTAAGGCAGTTATTAAAATGTGTCTATACTTTCTGAAAAGTTACAAATGTGTGTCTTTTTGTTCTGTTTGTTTGTTGTTGTTTTTGTTTTTTTTTTTTTAAATTTAGGCTTTTGGCAGCTGAAATGGGTTACCTTTATCTATTTTCTGTCCTAATCCAGAGAACTATCCAGCCCGTAGAATCATAGGAATTTGAGCTGAGTTGTAACAATCAACCTGACAAACTCTCCCAACCTGTTTCATTAGATGTCCAGTGGGCTGACAATAGCAAAGTCAGAATCTTTGCTGTTATTACTACTGTCATCGTCAGGGCTGGAGCTCAGGTTGCTGGATGAGGCTGAAATGGAGCCCATTAGTGGGTCAGAGAATATCAAAGAGGAACGAGACGGAGCTTCTGGCTTCATCGCTGATTCCTTGTGTGCCTGAAGGGACTGGGCTGGCTCCGGGACAGCACTTCTACTTCCTTCCTCTTCTTTGGAAACCATAATATAGTCATCAGCACTCTTGTTCTCACTTGTGCTCACATCAGTCGTAGTCTGTGAGACAACAGCACAGAGAGGACTTAAAGTTAGTACCAATTTTACCATTTAATGAGGTTTATGATGTGTGCCAGTGATATGGGAGTGGGATAAAGGAATAATCATCATCCAAAAGTAGCAATGCCCAAATCAAGAAGTAAAAAATAAAGTGGGTATTAACTTTGAAGTAATTTATTTGTTATTTACAAAAGCATAAAACCCAACACTCTAAAAATACATTTGTTATAGCAGTCTTACATGTTTCATCATCATAGTGCATCCATGTAACAATCACAACAGCTAGGCATCTAACACGTACATTACAGTTGTGAAGATTTTCAGTAATTATATTCTCACTGCTGTTAGTTTTCTGTAGTAATTAATGAAGTAGTATTGAGGAATTTTTTGATGGTTTGCATGTACAATGCCATTTTGGAGCTTGCCAGAAAAAAAGTTGAATATAAAATTACTGAGTAAAACCTGGGGAATCTGAGCCATACATAGACCTGGTTTAGTGTGCACCAGTTTGGGTTCAACAGATCAGGGCTCCCAGGGCTTCTAGGCTTAGTGATGTTGAGTATTTCCTAGCCGTACCAGAAAACGAGGGCCTGGCAATCCCTATTCTGTCTGGTTAGACCTTGGGAAATGTGTGTCCCTGAGCACTCAGGTAGTGGACCAAGACTACACGTCAGTGTAGCAGAAAACTCTACAAACTTGCAATCTTGTATTCCAACTAGCCATATTCAGGAGAAGTGAAGACTGCCATACAAAGCAGAGTGGGATCTTTTACTTGTTGACAACTGTCAGACTATTAGCTTGGATGCAACCTAAACCTCAACTCCTATCTAGCGCTATGTTCCTCTAACAAGAATATGTCTGCTTTCTTAGTTGGTCTCACACAATTTTTTTCAGAGTAACAATGCAACCTGCCAAGCAGCCTGTGGGGACAAGTATCCTGAAGTGGTGTGATATTGAAAAGAATGTATTTGATTACACTAATGGGAGACTGAGAAAAAAGGGAAGTAAAGGGGTAGCTGGGGAAATGTGTATTTCAATATGTGTGTCAACTACAAGCCCTTCAGCTGTGACTCTTCTACCAAACATAAAAACATAAATTCACTTTGGGGTAAAACAGAGATTGTAGGTATTAGGGGAAAAAAAGAAAGCCTCTACAAAAAAGAACAACAGGAATAACCTGAGTGAGATAAAGTTAGACCCTCAGCACAGTATATAAAATTGGAGTATGGAGGTCATCAAAAGTATCAGCAAGCCACAACTTGGAGTTACAGTATCCATGGCCTCCAGCAAAACTTATTTTGCCAAATTTATTATTACAGCTGAAAACAATTTTCCATTGCTCTGATCTGATTATAGATCTTGAAGGGTAACTGTAGAATAGCTCAGGGACCAAACCCACCAGTGATTAAGAATGACTGTAATATGAAATGAGGGAGCTGGAAGTCTTTGCTTGTTATTTACATAGTTGTTACAAGTTGTTTAAAGTCACAAACAAGATCACATCAGCTGAATGTGAAAATATGTTGAATCACAGAATCGTGACCTGTTTCCTTCCAAAATTTATATGAACAAGGATTTCAATATTTAAATTTTTAAAACATCTTGTTTTTTATGATTTATAATTTTTGGGGTGTTATCTACACAGTATGTAGGTATAATAATATTGTATTATTGTCTAGGTATAACAACATATAGTATTCTATTTTATAATTAACCCATTTTAATACTTTATTGTTCAAATGGAAATATTTTAAGTCCAGAGTATTGGATACAATTTTAAATGTCACAGTGTAAGACTGTTGTCAAACTGATAGAAATTTTATCTATTACTGTTTGATACTAATTCATTTTCCTCAGATGACTTAATAAAATTTGTACCAAACTGAGTAGATTGCTCTAAAAGTATGAACAATTATCCTGTGCTGAGTGCTATCAAAACTGATCTCAAGCTTCCTGATCTGTGAAGAACCAGGGTGGCTCAAATGTCAACAACTTCAAGCAGCTCCCATGAAGTTAAAAACAAACAGATCTATCCTACAAGGAGAGATACTTCACTGTTTAAGCACTTCTGATCTGACACATCATTTATTATTAATTATCCTTATGCTTTCATCTGGTCTATTTGAAATGAGCTGTCAGTCAATCAACTGCCATCTCCAATGGGGCGAGGACACAGGCAGCATACAACCATGGCTCTGCTCCACCAATATAGAATCACAGGAGTTGGGAATCACTGGGTTGGAAGGGACCTTTAAAGGTCAAGTAGTCCAACCCCCCTGAAATGAGCAGGGACATCTTCAACTAGATCGGGTTGCTCAGAGCCCTGTCTGACCTGACCTTGAATGTTTCCAGGGATGGGGCATCTACCACCTCCCTGGGCAACCTGTTCCAGTGTTTCACCACCCTCATGGTGGTGAAAATGTCTTCCTTATATGTCGTCTAAATCTACCCTCTTCCAGTTTAAAAACATTACCCCTTGTCCTATTGCAGCAGGCCCTCCTAATAAGTTTGTCGCTATTTTTCTTATTAAGTACCGAAAGGCTGCTATAAGGTCTCCGCAACTCTCTCAGCCTGTCCTTGTAGGGAAGGTGCTCCAGCCCCCTGATCATCTTTGTGCCCTCCTCTGGACCTGCTCCAACAGGTCCATGTTTTTCCTGTGCTGAGGACTCCAGAGCTGGACACAGCACTCCAGGTGTGGTCTCACCAGAGCAGAGGGGGAGAATCCCCTCCCTCGACCTGCTGGCCACACTTCTTTTGATGCAGCCCAGGATACAGTTGTCCTCCTGGGCTGCAAGCATACATTGCTGGCTCATGTCCAGTTTTACATCCACTCATACTCCCAAGCCCTTCTTGGCAGGGCTGCTCTCGATCTGTTCATCCCCCAGCCTGTATTGATACGGGGTGTTATCCCGACTTAGGTGCAGGACTTTGCATTTGGCCTTGTTGAACCTCATGAGGTTCACATGTTAGTTGTTGCCTGATTTTATAGGCACCCAGTGCAGCCACAAGACAGAGCCTGGTGAAGCTTTTCTGGGAGCTCTAAATGCCACGCTCAAAATTTCAGCACTTTGTTTCCACCCCCCCCACCCCACACAACAGAAATATACATTCCTTTAAACAACCACCACTGCATAGTTCACCTGGCTTCCTTCCACACTTCTATTTAAAAGCTCTGAGGGAATGCAGTACAGTCTCATTTTGCAGAATTATACACTTTATTATTCCAAGCTATCAAGATCATGCTCTTTCAGTCCTCGCAGCCCTCACACCTGAGATGGCTCCACCTTGCATAGGGTGACACAGATTTTACCTAGTGACATGCTTGCCCAGCAAGATCAATATTTTCCTTGCTGGCACCCCCAAGGATGTTAACGGGGTGTCTTCTTTTTGGCAGTGAGCCCCAGCAAGGGGCCTCATAAATGTTTCGCATTGGTATTGCAGTTTCCTAAATTCTGCTTTCAAAAATGTGCTCTTGTGCAGTTTAAAAAGCATTCTGCCCTTTAATAAAGGGAAAGGAAGGAAAACTACTCATTGCAATTTCTGGTCATTAGTCTTGTGCTTTGCAACACTATTTTTTGTCCTACCCACTCTTTTTGGTTCAGTTAGAGACCTACAGCTCACTTAAGTATCAGAGGAGCATCAAAGCATAGCTATTGACTCCAAAATGCTGTAAAATAGCCTCCTGTAAATGTTTGCCTATCCCTGGCATACATTAGTATTTCGGTACTGATATTTCCAGAGGTAAAATACCTCCTCCCTTCTTCTTCTGCCTGTTTCTGTGTCAGGAATCTCATGCTGACGTGAACCATGTTTTTTCCCATCTGCTGCCACTACTGAATAAATGAAAAATGACAGTATTATACTTCCAGTAGCTTTGAAAGTTAACAACCTTACGCCCGTTGCCATATGGCTTCTCCAAACATTTTTTTCCTGATGAATATCAGCTACTAGGACCAGGCTTATTTCAATTGCCTTCATACTGTGAATGAGTTAAAACTAACTGTAAGGATACAATTCAAGAAAGCTTAGAAGAACAGCAGCTCATTTTGCCTCCTTCTTTGAACAGACATAAAGGCAAGATAATGTGTTAATTATCATTCATTATTTAGCAACAGAAGCCTTCTGTTTGTCAACTGCATACTGCTACCAAAGCCAAACATTCTAAAAAATGCTCTATTCCTTTGAGCCTTTATCTTAGGTTTTTGCATTTTTAATTTTGCAGCTTTTCTTTCCAAAGAAGGGCTGTATTCCTATCCTCATATTCCAGAAAGGGAATTTTGAAGCAAAAAGTAGGAAGAGAACTTTTAAAAAATGTAAAGATGATAAATAATGTATATTTATATAACAACCAAGTACAGAAGACCAGATTTTAATCTCAATTACACAGTAGCTACACCTGTAACTTTTCCAGCTGTCCTAGAAAATATCCCTATAATTCTACCAGAGAAAAATCTCTACACTCTCAGTCACATCAAACAGAATTAGATTTATTACCAAAGTCACAGAAAATGTAAATACAGTAAAATTTATTTAGCAAGAAATGCATTAAATGGTCTAGAAGTGGTTGGAATTTTAAATCCCCCTGTAGCTCTCAGTAAGTACTCCTGGCTTGACCCAGGGCATCAGTGCAGCCCATTTTCTTCAGCAGAGATAAAAGCCTGGGCTGTGGTCAGTTTGGGCTAACAACTGACCCTGTCAATTAACAGTCAAGTGTCACAGCCCAGTAAATTCAGCAGTGTTATTTTCCCATGTTTTATTAAGAGAGGTGCAAAGCTCTCCTCTTTTTGTTTAATTTTAGACACGGTGGTTGAAGACTATGGGCTTTCAAACAGCACAGACCGTCACGATACTAACAATCCTCCTGGACTGCTGTTTCTAACTCTAATCTTTTCTCTTTCTTTCTGTCAAAAAGGCCCTTGTTCATTATCATAACTGGAACTTCTAGAAGATAAGAGGAGAGGAGGCTAATCTGTATGAACGTACTGTACCTCCAAACGTAAATTATGCAGTGCTGAAGCCTTGTTAATGCTCTGCAGGAGCTCAGCTTGTACAACTCTACTCATGTTGCTCATAGTTGGCTTACTAACAGCCTCTGAAATTCTGGGACCTACGGACGCCTCTCAGTTCCTGGGCTGGATTTATATATCCTGACTACACACTGGGATAAGACCAGCCCTCATTACAAATGTCCCCAAAAGTTTCCATTGGAAAGAAACCTGCACAGACAAGGCTTCCCTTGCTCCAGTCTCAATACTCAAAGTGCAAAGCCCCAGCGCCTCCACTCAGTGACACACAGTTTAGACCAGCAACTGAGTAAGGGCTTCTCCAGCACGAGTAGAGTCAGCATGCACTCATACAACATGTTGTCATTTTACATGGCATTCTACCTTCCAGTTTCTAGAATAAATCCAAGCAAAAATTATCAAAAAAGTATTTACTATTTGCCATTTTGGCAAGAACTCAAAAGGTACTTTCTATAAAATGCTAGGAGATAGAGGGCAAAAATAGGAGGTCATTATATGAACACTTGTTGTGGTTTAACCCCAGCTGGCAATTAAGCACCCCACAGCTGCTCGCTTACTCCCCCCTGGTAGGATGGGGGAGTAAATCAGAAGAGTAAAAGTGAGAAAACTCGTGGGTTGAGATAAAGACAGTTTAATAAGTGAAGCAAAAGCTGTGCACCCAAGCAAAGCAAACCAAGGAATTCATTCACCACTTCCCATCAGCAGGCATCTCAGCCATCTCCAGGAAAGCGGGGCTCCATCGTGTGTAATGGCTCCAACACGTGTAATGCCATAACTCTGAACATCTCCCCCTTCCTTCTTCTTCTCCCAGCTTTATATACTGAGCATGACATCACATGGTATGGGATATCCTTTCGGTCAGTTGGGGTCAGCTGTCCCAGCTGTGTCCCCTCCCAACTTCTTGTGCAATCTCAGCCTACTTGCTGGGGTGGGGTGAGAGGTAGAAAGGTCTTGATTCTGTGTAAGCACTGCTCAGCAGTAACTAAAGCATCCCTGTGTTATCAACAATGTTTTCAGCACAAATCCAAAACATAGCCCCATACTAGCTACTATAAAGAAAATTAACTCTACCCCAGCCAAAACCAGCAAAACACTCCAATATGTTACATCAGTTTAACCTATGGCTTTATTATGGCAGAAAGTAGCGATTGTAATGACAACACCTAAACAAGTAATGAAAGCTTTCTAGTTCTTTGAACCTGTCATTACTAACTAAAAAAAAAAAAAAATAAAAAAAAAAATCTCAGTATTGCTTCTAATACTGAAATACAATTAAAGTATCATTTTTAACATAGAGTGTGCTAACTCAGGGGAATTGTGTTTAATAAAACAAAACAACCCTATGTCATTTTTTAAAAATGAACAGATATTTCCTGTAGTTCCTAAGTAAAATTGTCAAAAGTAAACTGATTGCAGACTTGGACTCTGAGGTGATAGTGCTGCCACTGATTTACAAGTGTGAGTATCAGTAGTGGGGTGGCAGATTTAACAAAACTTCAATGTAGAAATGTGCATATACAGAAGTATTTGCTTTTAAGATCACATTTGAGTCAGACCGAGTCTTAGACAGAGAGGGACCTTTTAACATGAAAGGAAAATACATCTTTCTGTGTATGAACTTGTCCTGTGACTATGTTTTGTATGTGAAAACACTGTTTACTGATTCAAGGAGAAAGTCAATACAATGGAGTAGAAGGTAAAAGCAACCTCCTCACTATTTCCTTTTTGGCACTGGCCATGAATACACTGCAATGCAGATAATCAGATCTTACATAATGGGATTCTGGAGGACAAGGACAATGAGAATAATCATAAGAGAACATTTGATATGGGAACATTTAACTCCAGTTTTTACATCTTCTTCTAGGAAATTAACCTGTGACTCTGTGATACAACAATCTGAAAGAAGAATGCCCCCCATACATTGCATAAATATCTGCGTGTGGACCTTAAGGCTACAATAAAATTAATTGATGGGATCGGACAGTAGCTAGAGAGACACCTTAAACCTTGGCTTCATGTGCACCAGGAATGGTGGTGTGTTCCCATGTAATGTCTGGACATGCTAAAGGAAGTCTCCGACAGACTAATTCCATCAATGGCCCATCTGAGATGTTTTTATCTTACCTGTCGTCCTGGGATGAACTGTTGCTTTGTCATCACAGGTCCCTTTAGGACATCACCTGTCCCCTTGTTCTGACTGTTGGAACAGTAATGATCATCAGCTATAGTGATCTGCTCATTTTCTTCAGCTTCCAGCTGGCTCTGGTTGAAACGCAATGAACCTTTCAGGATATCTTTGATCTGTTGTTGAATGGGAGAGCAAAGGATGTAAGTTAGAAATTTGGAGGAATTCTAAATTTTGTAAAGCTCAGTGCAGCATGTTTCATACACTGCTTCCCCAAACTATTTGCTCTGAAGAGATAGGGAGCAAGTCAATATTCGTATCTGTGCTGGTTAAAGATATAAATATAAGTGAAATGTGGTTGTGGAAAACAAATATCCAAGAAATCTAAAGAGAATGAAACTGCTAAGATTATTCCCTACCTTGTTGTAAATTTAACATATGTTACATCATTCCTCCTTAAAATGTATTTTGAGGGAGCAGAGGGCAATGTAATCAGAGCTACAGATGCTCAGCAGCATTCTCATTTTATATACGGAGATTTTTTTTTTAATTCAATTACATTCAAGTGTCATCACATTTAAATAATGGGGACATAGGCATGATTATTCCCTAGCCTGTACATTTTGCATTAAGAAAAATGATGGTGTCGCACTTCCTCAGTTCTGGTTGATGCATTAGTATTAGTAAAACAGCTACAACAAGACAAAACATAGTATACAAAAAGAATGAAAAAGGAGAAAAATAAGAAAGGATTAATAGCACCGAAGGTTACAAGAAGGCTAAGCAATAGTTATACCTGTTTCAAACCAGCCAAGGAAACCAGAATTTCATCTTCTTTTTCCAAGTGTTCTTGTAATATGACCTCCTGAATATTTCCTGCAACATCAAAAGAAAAAAAAATAAATCTCTAACGTGCTGCCGATTTACCGCTGACTTATGCTCTCAAAATAAAATCCTGTGACCTGCAAACACAATTTTGCACACAGACCTAGAGGCTGACAACCTTATTAGCCATGGAGGTGAGGCCAGCCCGAGCCTGGCACTGCTGCCAGGAGGCCTCCAGCAATGCTGTGCTGCTGAGGGACCTCTACTGCCCAATGGACCTGAGCTACTACTGGCCCCTAGAAGAAAACATTGGCCTCTGTGGCTAATGGAGTTACCTTCATCGTTGAACCTGCAAATGCTTTGGAAAGCACTCAAGAACATTTACAGGAATCTGCTGCAGCTCACAGGAGGGGTTAGGGTAGGAGTGCAGTAATCTTCCTCTTGATCCCATGGCCACTGCAGATGCTAGAATGTTTTTCTTCTTTATGAAAAACCTGAAACTTTCAGTCCCTTTCCAACCCTTTCTTTCAGGTAAAAGACCCAGGGCTGAGCAAGCCTTATTTGACAGAAAGGGCAGTGCAGTACTGTCACTTCAGAAGACTCCTGCTTTGTATACCTATAGCACTGTCCTCCAAGGATGCATTTCAATACTCTGGTATATGGTGTTTGCAGGAGTCGGGGCTGGAGGCTGGCTAACAGATCAGAGATGGAGCTGTGGTGGTCTTCCTCATGCCAGGGAAATCCTGGGCAATGATGCAGTCTAAACCAGCCCAGAGCAACTATAGCTTCAATAGCCCTGCAGACTCTTTAAACTCTGTCAGGTTCTTCTCCAGCATCCTCACTCCTACTTTCCTCCTCTTTAAGAAAACAGCAAAGATTCCTAGTGAGAGATTTACAGGATGACATGGTATCTGTCAACTGAAAATGACAGGATACTCTTTTGTGCCACTCCTGTCTTACATACACAGAGCCGGGCCCAAATCCCTCAGTGACATTCATCTGGGAACAATGCTTTGCTGCTCACAAATACCTGTATCCCAGGTGCTTCACAATTAGACCTTTGTACCATTAATCCACAGCTGCATTGCATTTATTTGTTTTTGAAAACATCCTACATGTTCAGGGCCTGAACCAGTGAAAAGCCAAAACTGTTGCCACACGTTATGCTGATTATGCTGACAATGACAAATATGATGACACTGCCAACTTTGACACAACATGAAGTTTCAAGTAAAAGCATTGAGTAATTTGGCATAAGTTTCGTGTTTACAGAATAAATAGCAAAAGAATGAGATGTGTGAGACTGGACAAGCAGAAAGATTAAAAGTAGAGAGGTGGATTTAAACCCCACATATTAAACACAGAAGTTTGAAATTGAGTGGGGGTCAGAAATCAGTAATGGTCATAAATGAAGAATGGAAAAGGCAAAGAGGATCCAAGCCTAAGCACTAAATGAACCACTAAAGAAGCAACCTGAAAAGTAGAAATAATGCAATAGGCTAGAGCCAGGAAAGGACATGACAGGAGTCCATGAAAAGTGGTGTGATCCAGGTCATCAGCCACAGTAGAGGTAGGATAACTCAGCTTTGCATAAGCAGCCTATCTGAAGAAGGAGATCCATGTTTACATTGTTTAGCACTCATTATTTACCATATTACAGCGTCAGTGTCCTGCAGCCATGAAGTCAAACGTAGTACAACTGAACAATGTCTAGTATAAATTTTACATCAGAAAGACATTGCATTATAAAGGCTAGAAATAATATAAAACTAGATCTTTCCACAAATATGTAGCATCATGAATTGAGAAAAAACATAATTCAACATTTTACTTGCTTTTTATACATTTTACATTAAAACTATCTAGTCTCTCAGTTTAGTAAATAGAAGATATTTACTTATAAAATAATACTTTAGATCCTCATTTCCCCTGTTTAACAAACAATGCATGATTTCACACTTTTGAAAGGTCCAGAACTTGAAACATCATCAGTCCAAAGTCTTCATAGGCAGGAAAGCAATGCTTAATTGCACCCTGAATCACTGAATTCAATTTTTTTTTTTTTTTTCCATTTTGCAGCATTAGAAAGAAAAGCATTTCTACAGTGTTTGTTCCCCGCATGAATTAAAACCATGCATTAGAAAACTAAGGTATACATACTGAGTAAGCAGATGGACAAAGAAAATAATTTAAAACAAATCTCCAACCTGTCAAAGAACAAATAAGGAAAATCTAAAAAATAAAAAAAAAAAGGGAGAGAACAAAAGCTGAAAGGCATTACACATGATGGGTATATAATCTATCATTATTTCTCTTCTTTAGAGATGTTTATAAGTCATTATTTTTAAAAAATGGAAAAGAATCTATCGTCGCTATGAAAACCAGCTATACCTATGTTTGAAGAGCCAGTACACTGAGAAATTTCTAAGAACTTATGAATAGAACTATGATAGCCGGCAGAAAATATTAATTAAAATGTTCATATCATCACATATTTACTGCAGCAAAATCTATCCCAGATTTTAATATTAGTTTCAGAAAAAAAAAGATTAAGCGAGAAAAGGTCTGAAATACAGCAAAATTTTCTAATATTGACCTGTTGAGTTTCTAAAATTTTTCCTTCAATTTGCAGTATGTTTTAAAGTACAGTATGACATATGTCTCGGATATATAGGGTCTATTATTTTTAATCAGTTAAAATAATTAAATGTGTTTTGGAGAAATTCCCATTCGGAGCTTGCTTTAAGACACAATTTTGGACTCAGAGAGCACACTTCCACTTAACCCAGAAAAATGCCCCAAGCGGCAAATCGCTATAATCAGCCACTTCCCCCCCCCTCCCGCCTCCCCATTAAGTAACAGTTGTGACATAAGGTCATAAATCGGGATGTCTTTCTCTAGTACAATGAAGCAGAATGAAGGTTTCCCTGTGGAACTGGCAATGGATCTTCCTTCTTCTAAATATGACCTTGAACTGCACATGGCTCCTAATCTACCACCCGCGTCCATTTTGAAACCAGAGTTTATTGTCTACCAAATAAGTGATAAGTATGGAATCCTCATTCCCTGGCTAATGAGTAAAGAGGATTAAAAAAAAAAATCCTTAGATAAGAGAACCATATGGAGTGGTGTCATTTTGCGTGAGTGCCTCCTTGATCACACTCTCCTTCTGGGGCCACCCTTCACAATCCATGGGGACTGGAAGCAGAGGTGGGAAGAAGAGGAGGGATGGCAAGCAACTCTGTACGTGCCTCCGCAGCTGCACTCCCCTGAATGGCCGTGCCACGGCTCAGCAGTCCTCACCTGAGGGACTTCCAGCCGAGCCTCCTCCCACTGATGGGGGGACCTCACAGGGCAGTCAGTTGCTGAGATGAACTGGGAAACTAAGCGCTCTAGTGCAGACAAAAGCTTTAACTTTTACCCTTCTGTATCTCAAAAGATACCCTTGTAACTATAAATACTTTTAAAAACGGTAGCTCTGTTAAGAGTGCTAGGAAGCATATTTGATATGGTATTGCTCAGCTGAAGGACTTCTACATTAAGCTGAGATGTATAATTTAATTATTATTCCTTCATAGGAGATGTTGCTGTATTTTGAGATAAGTGCTTTATGAATATGAAGGAATTGGCCATATTCCTTTTCCACTTTTACCTTGTCTGATGCTCTTCATCAGTACCTCAAAGCTTTAATTAAGGTTATTTTTTAATAAAATAATAACTATCTTTTTTTTAAAAAACCCCACAGATGTCAATTAGGAACTGAAAACACCTTCCTACCTGTAAAACAAACATTGATACAATGAATCAAACAAATTGATTATGTGATTTCTAGATTATCCAAAACTGCGTCCAGTTGGATTCTATGCTATAAATATCTATTTTATGTTATGATTCAAAAGTTAACAAAATCCTATGGTACTTAGAAAACTAAGGCAAAATAAAATATTTTTGACTACTTTTTTTTTTTTTTTCTTTTTCTTTCATCAATATTTCATTTAGCTGATACCAAATGCTTTCTGCAGGAAAAAAAAAAAATAAAAATCACCCGCTTCAGTGAAGTTCTTACCAGAGGAAAACAAAAGGTGAATTTTACAATCTGTCACCTGGAGCACTGCTGTGATACGTAGGAGACCCCAGACAGCCATTACAAGATTCTGGATCTGTTTCAACACAGTACTAACAAACCTCTAAGTTTCACAAAATGAATGGTCATACCCTAACTGTATTCTTGACTAAGCTTCAGAAATACTGGAGCTGTAAAACCAGTTGTTCTCAGAAGTCAGCAATGTCATCCACTATTATGGCTGCCCTCAAACCAGACTCACCACCCAAGGGATGCTTTTTATATAGTTGATTAGAATTCATTTTGTCAAATGAGCAGATTATTTGATAGATACTAGATTTTTGATTTGATAGATACTAGATAGAATGATAGATACTAGATCAGTAAATCAATAACCACTTCCTCAGCAAGACTATGATCAGCTGCCTTGATGCACTTTAAAGCCAATGATAACTACAGAGGAGTAACATGCCATGATTGCATGCTTATTCTTTTCTACAAAATATAGAAAAACAGTGTATCAAGTAGTGATTTGGGTGGCAACAGTTGAAACAGCTAAAAAGATGAAATATATTTTCATTTCTTGCTCTTAAGAGTTACACCAAACCACAAGCAAGTTCACATGGAAGCTCACTGTATAAGTATTTTTTTAAAAATCAGGATTTCTACTTCCTCTTCCTAACTTAATTTCTAAAATATAAACTGAAGACATGCTATCATCCTCTGTGCAGAGATGAAAGAGGAGAATAATCCACAGCAGCTCCTAGCAGGAAAATGAGAGAAGGTTTATGCTCTTTGATGACTCAACTGCTACATATTGCATGATGGTGTGTGGAGTCACTGCTGAGCTCCCTAGCCAGGGAAAGGGGCTGTTCAAAACTTTCCTCTCCACATGTGGAAAAGATGTTAGGCTTGGCCTGATTACTTTAGAGGCTTATTAAGTAAACTAACTTTCACTGAAAATTCTGCATGCATTCAATACAGATTT